TGCTTCTTGTACTATGGATAACCACTAAGAAGATAACAATGTACAATGTATTGATTATCAAAGCTGTCCTATTAATCAGCTGTGAAACTGTCTCATATTTATTTCTCAATAATAAAAAATTAAAAATTTTAAAATTTTTTAAAAAAAGAATTGGCAGGACTTTGCAAAACAGAAGTGGTGATAGTGAAGGAAGAAATCCAGCCAGAGACAGTAACATGGTCAAAGACAGCGGCTTGTGAAAGACAAGCAAGAGGTGCAGTTCTCAAGACAGGAAGTGGATTTTCAAAAAGTAGTTCTGGAAGACAGAAAAAAAAAATTAGTTGGAAATGAAACTAGTCAGGTGCATTTCATCTACATTAAAAAGCATCTTTATAGGGGCCTGGCCCTAGTTCAGTCCTTTAAGTGGCTGCTTCCACAAAGCTGTCAGCCTCAGGTTGCTGGAGTTCGAACCTCACAACTCTCCCACTGGCCAAAAGTGCCCTGAAGGCATTCGAGGAACAAAAAAAAAAAAAAGCATCTTTATGCCCAGTCAGAGTTTACTTCTTGTTTTGTTTTCCATGTGGTATAAGTTAGGTATTTTTTTAATAAGATAAGTCACTCAGTCTGTTCTTTGTATTTTGAAGATAAATCTGGTGAAGTGATACGGGAGACTCACTTGGAAAGTATGGAAAATTTAAAATAGAATTAAGAAGCAGCAGTAAGAAGAGCCAGAAGTAATAAACACTTAGACTATAATAACAGTAACTGTCTAAGAAGAAAGTACCAAAGAAATATTTCTGAGGAATAAGCTGTGAAATTTGATCACCAACTGGATGTAGGAGTGGAGGAAGAAAGAATCATGGTTGGTTTTCCAATTTGGAACTGGTGAGGACAGCAAAGCCAAAGTGGTGAGGACAGTTTCATTTGCTAATTGCAGACATAAGTTTAAGTCAAGATTTAGGGGCTGGTGAGATGGCTCAGTGGTCTAAAGCACCTACTTAGAACAAGTTAAGCCAAGCAAAGCACAGGGACCACGGTTCAATCCCCCAGCACCACATGCCAACCAGCCCCGCCCCCAGGTGGGCTGAGCTGGCCACACACACACACACACACACACACACATATACATAAATAAAACAAAACAATAACATTTATTTTAAAAAAAGATTTAGGAGTCACAGATATGAGAATTGAAGCAAAGCATAAATGAAGCCTCCCAGGATAAGGGCACAAAGAGGGGAGAACCCAGCATGAAAATGTAGAGCACCCCAACACTGAAAGGACGTATACTTCTTCTGTAATGAACACATTCACATCCTGTTGAGTAGGACTGCTCCTAGTCAAATTTGTAAGTTTTTGTTAGTATATAGCCAGAGGACATGAAATATAAAATTCCATTTCATTTCATTTCATTCAAAGACTATCAAAAAAAAACCCAAGATTTTCTCAATAAAAAATGCCAATGTATTTGGAGAACAGGTGGTTATAATATGCAACATACAGCAGGAAAAATAGAAAAATCTTCAAGCCATTAATAGGTTTTCTGCTTCTAGTTGTAGGTTCTAAACTTCTAGTACTGCCCTCGGAACATTTCATCCCCACACATCAAAAATAATTGGTTTTAGAAAGCATCTTGTTCATATTTCACATCATACCTGTGTAATAAGACAAACAAGCTGCAACTACAGATATCAACCTGAATATTTCCATCCTTTCAGCTAGTATAGGGCTAAGACTAACCTTCCTGTGTCTTATTTTCTTCCAGTGCCTTTAAAGAGAAACGATGGTTGCAACAGTTGGAAATAGCAAGGGCCCTTGCCAGGAAGAGCATTTCTAACCTGACTGTCCATGGGAGTCTGACAGCACATGAAAGCCTTCCAGAAATCATGCCTTGAAAAGTTATGATAACGTGAGTCTGTACAAAGACCTGTTCAGATAATCTCCAATTTTAATGTTATATTTTTAATTCCATCAGTTCTAATGCTTGCAGTTCTAGTGCTGACTTCAACAGGATATTTAATGCTTAATATCATGTTTTCTTGGATTCCATCATCCCCAGTGAAAATGTAGGGCTTTCTTTTTTAATATAGTCTGAGGAAAATTCATAAGAACCTGAGGATTATAGTTGACTACAGGCTAGGATAGAGGATGGAAAACAAGGATGAAAGAATCATTGTTTCTTCCTTTGTTTTTCTAGATTTGTTTTAATGATTTGGGGTTTTTAAGTCATAAAAATGTAGAACACAATGAAAAAATAAATACTTAAAATTCTATATAAGAAAATTGCAAAGATAATTGCAAATACCATCCTGATGTTATGCTTGTCTCGACATATTTTTAATTTCTGTTAAAACACGCTTTCAGGGGCCAGCCTGGTAGCTCAGCAGACCAAAGTCCCTGCTTGGGCAGAGGACAGTGGCCAGGATTCGATCCCGGGTGTGCCATGCCGGCCCCGCCCCCAAGGCATGCTGAGACAGCGAATGAGACCGGGCATGATGACGCACACCTATAACCCCAGAGCTTGGGAGGCTGAAGACAGTAGAATCACTGCGAGTCCGATCTACATAGCAAGACCCTGTGGATCCTGCAGACCCTATCCTAAATACAGGGGGTGAAAAAGAAAAAAAAAAAAAAATATATATATATATATACACATATATATATATATGTCTTTCTATTTTTTAAACTGACAAAAGTTTATATACAATAGATTCCATAGATCCTAAATATAATAGTCAATGAATTTAACAAATAAACATATATCTGAATAAATAGCAACTAAATTAAGATGTACAATACTTTGGCTACCCAAGAAAGTTTCTTCAAGCTCCTAAATCAATCCCTACACCTATAGGCAAATGTTACTCCAATTCTGTCATCACAGATAAGATCCGAAAATGATTTGCTCACAAATGTATCTAGATTATTTTAGTATTTTTGAATGTTTTGGATCATTTATGTTGTTGCATGAATCGGTACTACTTTTTTATTACTGCCTAGTATTCTATTGTATGAATAACCATAATTTTTCAACTCGATGGACATTTAGATTGTCTCCAGTTCTGCCATAATATAAATAAAGCTTTTACAAACTTTAATATAAAATTATTTATGAATATATATTTTCATTAAGTTTGTTCAAACACTACCTAGGAATGCAATTGTTAGGTAATAGGGTTAATGTACATTTAACATAATAAGAATCGACTTAACCATCATCCAAAGCAATTTTATCTTTTCACACTTCCATTAGTAATATTCAAAAGGGCTGGGGATTTAGCTTAGTAGTAGAACACTTGCCTAACATACATGAGGAGCTGGGGAGATAGCTCAGCAGCTAAAATGCCTAACTGGCAAGCGCAAGGTCCTGAGTTCAAACCCTGGTACGAAAAAAAAAAAAAAGTTAACATACATGAGGCCCTAGGTTTGATCCCAGAACTAAAGAGGAAAAAAGTTCTGCTTCACTAACTTTTACTGTCTTCAGTGTTTCTTTAATTTTTAATCATTATGGTTCAGTGATGGTGAATGTTTCAGAGCTTTCAGCGATATAAACCAGGCGCTGTGCTGTGGGTTCACCAACGCTGTGGTTGGTTCGAAATGGCCTGTCACTGTGGCTTTCCAACTTCCTTGACAACCGTGATAATGAGCACTTTCAGGAGGTTGTAGCCCACTTCCACAGGACAAAGGTTGTAGCCTTTTATGAAGTACCAAGTCTTTCCTATTTTAAAAACTGGGGTATTTTTAATTATTTGGAGGTTTTGGAGGTTTTTATGCATTCCTGATACAAATTCTCTATAAGGTATTTGCATTGTGCATATTTTCCCCAGTAGCTAACTTTTTCACTTACTAGTGGTATCTTTTTTTTTTTTTTTTTTTTTTTTTTTTTTTTTTTTTTTCTTAAGAAGGAAAGGAAGCTTGTTACTTACCCATGAAAACAGGAGGCAGTCCCTGCTAGGCCACTTGGGAGTGACACAAGGGGGTGCCCGGGAGGCAGGAGCTAGCCTTCCCAGCGTTTCCAGGTCAAAGGCCTGGCAGAACAACAGAGCAGAGCTGGCTGACACGGTCCATCCCATGAGGCCCCAGGCAACTGGGAAGGCTACTAGCTGCCTGGCACCTGGCCCTGAGCTGATGAAGGCAGAGGGCCGCGGCCTCCTGTCAGCATGGGGAGGTCTGGCTCTAGATCGTTTAGTGTGCAGACACGCTGTGCTCCCTGCTGGACCTGCGATCCTCTTGGATGCTCCCAGGGGCCGTGGCTCCCCAGCCAGAATGCTGTGGTAAGAGGTGAGAACATCACACTCACAGTTTGCAGAGGTTTTGGTTCATACAGGGCTGGCTCCCAGGCAGCGTGGCACATGGCAGAGGACAACAGTTCATGGTAGAAGACAGCACAAGCAGCAAGAGCAGACAGCTAATGGTATCTTTTGATAAACAGAAGGTTTTTTTATATAGCCAGCCAAAATAAGCCTGACATTAGCAAAAAGATAATAAATAACTTCTGGGGGTTAAATGACAGCATGGGTGCAGCAAAAAGAGAAAAGCACGCATTTAACTATTGAATACCCTTCCATATTTGTTGGGTGGAACATAAGCCAGCTCCAGGCTTCACATTATACAAACAATCTGGTGACAATCAAAAGCCAAAACATTTTTAAATGTAAGTTTCCCATACCACACTTTTTCTTTAAATCAGCTGGCCAGCAGTTACAGTTTTCCAACCACCAGGAACAAAAATTTTGGCTCCAAGGTACATGGAAAACCACTTAAAATGTGAAAATTGAGAATCTCCATCAAAGAAGGAAAATGACCAGAGAAGTCTACTTTCAGCAAAACAGAGGAAGCACTGATTTCTCTGAATTCAGCGCATAAGTGGATCTCAGTTTAATATGTTCTAAATAAAGAAATAAAAATAAAACTACTCACTTGACAGATGCAGCATGTTGACAGATTAGCTCAATAGGAAACACAACAGGTCAGGGGCAAGATGAACAAGAAGGAATGGGAAACAAGGATTTGGACAAAATTAGCTTAAAGGGGTTCTGTCCCCAGATTGTAAATGCTCTTGACTGACCTTGGCTCTCCAAGAGCTCTAAATTGTCTGGGGGTTAATACGGTCTGGTTAATGGTTAACACTACTAGTTATATCTGTGGAAATCTTTAAAAATAACTGTTACAACTTCAATTTAATCACATGAACCCACGGTACAGACCTGCTCTGAAAAGCAATATGAAAACTGAGATCTGGCACTGTATCATTCTGGAATGATAATTCAGCCCAACTAGGCTGGCCAGATAGCTCAGCGGACTGAAGTGTCCACTTTTGCAGGCTCAGGTACCGGGGTCAAACCCCAGTGTGCCGTGCCAGCCATGCCCTGGGGTGCACTGAGATGGTGACTGAGACTAGGCGTAGGGGTACGCACCTGTAATTCCAGTGCTGGGGAGTCTGAAAACTAGAGGATCACTATGAGTTGGAGCTGTGTAGTGAGACCCTGTAGACCCTGTACTAAATACATTTTTTTTTTGAAATTTGAATAGAGCCTTTTATTTACTGAGCTCAGGTCAGTCCTAAATACATTTTTTAAAAAAGATAATTCAACCTAACAGTTCCATTCTCCCTTTGGAACCTACACCTCACCTCTCAGATTTATTCTACCTCAAGGTTTAAAAGAAAATGAATAACACAGAGCGAGGTTCAAGCAGTTTGAGAAGTATGCGTCCAAAAAGACACAACCAAAATAACAAAACAATGAGGAGAACGCCCAAAACATGATGTAAGATTTTAGAGTCCTTTCAGACACAAGGCAGGGAAAGATGTTAAGTAGATAATACCTGGATCTTCAGTAAGTCCCTCGGCTGCAGATGGCAGGCAGATCCTTTCTGCTGCTCCTGGGACAATCATTAAGTCTCCTCACTGGGACAAGCTGAGCTTTTCCTCCGCTCAATCTCCCCTTTCACAAAGGCATCAAAGAGACTTGGTCAGGCCTCGTTTTCATCGCAGCTGCTGTGTTGACGCCAGTCACCCGAAGTGAAAGACCGCATTTTAAGTATCCTAGGGACACTGTGATTTCCAAGAGGTCTCTGTCAAGGTCAGCCCCCGGGCTAGTGCAGGAGGATCTTTCCAGGTACAGACACAGGACAATGACTATTTCCTGGTGCAGTATTGCTGCCCTTCTTCAGAGTTCAGGTCACACCAAAATAAAAACAGAAGAGACTCTTAGACTGCCTTCTTGTGTGGCTGCCTTCAAGATGCTAAGGAACTGCACAAATCCTGTCAATGCTGTGTGCACTGTGTGCTTTGCAGCCATTGCAAACTCCTCCCTAGTGAGTTGTAACATGGTAGCAGCCTGGAACCTTGAAGCCAAGAGAAGTACTTGAAATTCCATGGGGTCGACACAGGTTATTGCAAAAGTGCCATGACTTCCTCCAAAATTGAATCTCCTGCCCAGCGTTGTAACACCTGAGCAGTCAGAGGAACTGCTCACAGGCCTCGGTGGCAACCTCTGCTGTCTTGGTCCCATTCACCTGGACATCCCCACCTACACCACAGGGTGGCGCCTGCTCCTCACAGTGGCCTGCCTTTTGCCTGCTGTGTGACTTGCTGCTGAGGTCCTAGATTCCATTCTTTTTTTTCTTTTTCTCTTTTCTTTTCTTTTCTTTTCTTTTCTTTTCTTTTCTTTTCTTTTTTTTAACCCGGTCTTGCTATGAGTTCAGGCTGGGCTTGAGCTCATTTTGTAGCCCAGACTAGTCTTGAACTTTAAAAATCCTCCTGCCTCAACCTCTCAAGTGCTAGGATTACAGACATGCACCACCATGCCCGGCTTCCAGGCTCCTTTCTTGCCACTCAGGGTCAAGGAGGGATTATTGTACTTGGTAACTCACGGGCCCATGACAGTGGTGGTCTGACATCTAGAGTGGACTGCTCTGATCAGATGCCCTCG